CCAGTATGGCTACTCCACATGTTCCTGCCACCTCACGGCAGGGTGCACACCAGGGAAGACAGCAGAGCGGATTTCACCCTGCGGGGCTTGGGCAGGTGTGGCCTCTGGCCGTGTCCGACTCCCACAGAATATGGCACAGAAACAACAGGACGTTTCTGACAGCTCCACAAAGGCACACCTCTGTGTAGTTACCACCTGGGGGGCTGGCCCAGCAGGCAGGTGTGCGTCCACTATGCCCCCAGCACAGCACACAGGCATGGGGCAGGCACATGGTGTGGCCCGGCCTGGCCCAGCCCAGCCCACCAACACAGATGGCCACACTCCTCAAGCCATGGGTGCTGACTGCAGCCCGCAGGTAGGAACGGCCTTTGGGTTGGTGCAGACAGGCATGGCACACGCCGTCCAGAGATGGAAACAGCCTCTGGCGCGTTGGTCAGGGCTGGGGGAGTATGTCACCAGATTGGTCCCCAGGGCCCCTCCTGGCCTTGCTGCCTGGCCCAGAGGACCCCCCGGGGATGTGGAGTCCCTCATTCTATCTGCACAGAGGCTGCTGCCAGGACTGTGCCCCGCCAGCCCATGCTCCCCACACTGCAGATCCCCTCCTTCAGACGGTCCCAAGAGCCTGGCAGCCCAGCCATTGGTCTCGGTCTCTGTGACCCATGGCCTCAGGACAAGAAGGCACAAGAACAGCACATCAACATGCTAGATGCAGCAGACTTCAGATACACAACATTTTTAAAGAGAGACTTTCACTATAGTGTGTGTGCACTCACAGAAGAGACAGAGAGACAGAGAGAGGGAGGAAGTCAGTAATCAGTCCCCAGGGGGGATGGCCATGCCACAGTCCCTTCCCTTTTGTTCTCCTCTTGGGATTTTCAGAGTGTACGCATATGCGCCAAGTGTGAGTTTCAAGCCTCCAGGTCCAGGACTCGAACCATGGTCTGCCACATGAGAGTCCAGTGTTTAACCACTATGCCCCCCCGATACACGATTACTGCTCACACCCAGAGCAGTGACTTGGTTCTAGACGTACTTCTGAGGACAGGAAAGCCGGGGTGGAGGGAGGACTGCAGGAAACATCTCACACCCAGAGCAGTGACTTGGTTCTAGACTTACTTCCGAGGACAGGAAACCCGGGGTGGAGGGAGGACTGCAGGAAACAAGCATCGTGCTCAGCTGCCCCGCACGGGCCAGGCTCTCAGGTGTCCCCCAGACACCGAGCACAGCCCCGCGTGCTCACATATGTGCTAGCGCGGCAGCTACGCTACGTGGGCCTCCTGCTCTCCAACCCCACCCAGCGGCAGCACCTCTCTTCCCTGCAGGCCCTCGGTCCCACGTGGTGGATGCCCCTCTGGGCCAGCCCCCAGCAGGGCCCGTTGCCTGTGGTCTCAGAAGTGGTCCCAGGTCTGACCATGGCCCTCAGCAGGTGTCCTGACAGCTCCTCTCCACCTCTCCACCCCCTGACACATCCAGGAGACTTCAAACCCCACTGCCGGGGTTGCCTAAGCCCCTGCCCACTGCTGTCACCTCTTGCCCACTCAGCCCTCGACATCCTCGTCCTCTCCGTGATGGCTGCCATGCAGGGAGGACGCCGAGCTCTCTAAGGTGTGAGCCCACCAACCACCGCCTCACACCCACAGCTGCCAAACTCCGCTGGACCTTGGCTGTCCACACTGCACGGTGCACTCACTGTCCCCATGGGGACCACAGCACACGTTGCTGACTCCCTGCTGCCCCGGCCCCTAGGCTGCAGGTAAAGGGCAGACAGGCAGTGTGAGTGGGGCCCTTGTGCCAAGGTGCTGGGTCCAGCAGAGACACCTTCAGATGAAGACCTTCCCTGACTGGCGGGCCAGGCTCTGAGTAGGGCTGATGGCCTGCCCCAAACCTCCAGCTGAACACAGCCCCACCCACTGCAGGGAGGACACCCACAATGGCTCCAGGAAGGAGGTCAGCCCTTTTTTTGGTCTCTGTGGTCAGCTCCCTGAATCCAAGTGGGGCTTAGTAGCTGAAGACAATGCCAAGGACTGACTCGTGACGGGTTCAAGGGCTCTGCTCCCAGGCAAAGGTGGGCACTACCTCATGGACACTCTGAGCACAGGCTGCCCTGCCCACCCTGCAGGCCTGGGGTTCCAGTTATACCAGCTGACACTGCGGCTCCACCTCGGAGTCAGCCCTCGTGGACAGCACCCACTGTGGATGGAGGCTGTGACCTCGAGGTCAGAAATGCTGTCAGGGCCGGAGCCCCGGGGTCTACCGAGCTGCAGCAGTCCCTGGGGCTGAGCCCCTTCCCCAACAGTTCTGAGCTGAGGCTGCCTGTTTGCCAGCCAAGGACACGCTGAATTTGCATCTGGTGACGGGGAGACACCTACAGGCCCCTCCACCCGCCGGTGGTGCCCAGGGGACCTGTGATTAGCAGTGCCACAGCCTTTGTGAGGGGGATGACGAGCATAGTTATGTCCCACTGCAGAACACTGGGGAGAGGTGCACCGCGTTCCCTCATGCCAGCTGCTCTACAGCAAGGGTGAGGGAGGAGGAGCACGCACGATAAAACATTCCCCGGGAGCAGCGCCAGCCAGGCCTCCTGCCGGGAGGAGCCCGGGGCCTCCTCGCTGGCCCCTGCTAGCTGCCAGGGCTCAGGCCAAATGCGCTGGGCCAGCACATGCACACCAGCAGTGCCAGATGCTCCCGCGGGCCTTGGCTCCCTCCCGCCTGCCACCCTGCCCACGGCCCCGTCCCTCCAGGCGTCCCACCTCACAGGGTCCCAGACAGGCAGACTGAGGAGCTGTGTGTGCTGTGTGCCTTCGGGTGGGGCAGAGGCCAGCCCCGGGCAAACCCTGGGTACTCGGGTCGGATATCATAACCGTCTCACGCCGAGGAAAAAGACAGTGAGGGATAGGACACAGGCCCCGAGCCCCACGCATGGGCCCCTCACTGGCAAGGGCAGGGTTGCTGGCTGAAGACGGGCCCAAGAACCGAGGTAGAGCCGATGGCCTGCCCACCTGCAGGAGGAGGAGCAGGTGGGAGTGTAGAGGGGCAGTGGTACTCACAGACACTGAGGGCCCCCGGGCTCTACCTGAGGCAGGACGCCCTGACACTTGGCACAGGAAGTCACAATGCACAATGCCGAGAGAAAAACCAGAGGCAGGGCTGGTCCCTTCGCCCAGTGGTTAAGGGAGCCAGGCCCCTGCGTGAATCGAGTCCTGGCCCTAGTGCATGAAAAACATGCTGGGCACGTGTGCGTGCACGTCCAAAACCTCCACGGGGGGAGAAATGGAGAAGGGACGGCAGTGTGATCACATCCCACAGAGGGGCTTTCTCCCTCTCCCTCTCAGTTTCTCTGTGCCAACGGCATGCATCTTCCATCTTATAGAAGAAAAAAAGAAAGAAAAAGAAAAGCTAGGGACAAAGAGAATACGAAGCTCCACCACGCACGTCCCATGTGCACATGCATGTACCACCCACAAACATGTGTGAGCCCACGGAGGGAGCTCGGGATACAGGTAGTAGGAGGGGCTCAGGGCTCACTCCTGCTTCCCACTTGCCAGTTTGCTGTCACTGCCGAGGGGTGAGCTGGAATCTAGCAGGAGCAGAGGCCAACATCACGCTGGCACCCCAGAGGGTCTAAGTACCAACCACCCAGCTAGAGCAGAGAGCCGCCCGGACCTGCGGCAGGACCCAGGAACAGGCATGGGACCGCGGGGGATGCGGCTGTCTGTCTCGGCACTACCTTGCCTAGCCGCAGCCCACACGGACAGACTGAGAGCCCTGGCACGTCTGGTGAGAAGAGTTGAGGGGAGGCTGATGCCCGTGTTCGGCAAGGGGCCCTCAGAACCCTGGTGGCCAGGGCAGGAAACCCTCTTGAACAGCAGGTGCTCAGCTCCCCGTTGCCTGCATAGCCCCAGGCCTAAGTGACATGTGGCACTGCAGGCTATGAACTGGGCAGTCAGCCAGGTGAGCACAGCCCTGGGGAGTGACCAGGTGTCTGTCTCACTGCCTGAACCATGGCCTGAGCACAAGTGGACTCTTTTGTGTGTCTAGGAACTCAGCCCACTTGCCACCCTCGGGCCCTGGAGATATGTCCAACTACATTCCACTATTTGGCGGCTGACACCCTTCGAGGCCCAGATTCACCGGTCTGCCTGCAGAGGCGGCCGGACAGGCTAGCTGCTTCCTTCCACAGGGCGAGCTGGGGAGCCCAGTGTCTGCCAAGGGCCAAATGGCCGAGTAGGCAGGACTGCCCTGGAAGCTGGAGGATGCGGGGCAGCGCCCCAGGCCTCCATCCCAATGGCCCTGGGGCGCTCCGCCTGGTCTGCTCCTGTCCACACAGCCTCACCCCGTCTATCCTTGGTCCCTGCATCGTGGTTTGGAGCTTCTCTGTGCCTAGCCCAGGGCGAGGCTCTCCGGGCAGAGTGGACACAGGAGTCAGACCGCCTGGCTCCTACAGCCAGTGCCAGTCACTCTTCTTCCTGTCCCCGGGGTTCCACAGGAACACTTTGTGGGGCTGAGAAGGGGAAGGAGCACTTGTCCTGCCCTGGCCTCCCCTAGACACAGGAGGTACAGGTTCTGCATGACTCACCCAACACTGGGCGCTCCAGCACCTGAGAGTAACAGAAGCAAGCCACGTCGGTTCTCAAGGTATGGGGTTTCTCGGCAGGCCACAGCGTGCAGGCCACAGGGAAGAGCGCCGCCCCTGGGTCACGGCCCTGTGCTTCCCGCAGATGTGGGCCGGGTGCGGCTGATGCTGACAGAGGGCCTGACCTTGACCGACAGCCTGTGCTGGCCTCCCTGTACCTCTCGGGACCTCAGCACTTACCCAGGAGTGACAGCAGGTGGGATGACCAGGATGGCCAGCAGCCGGGCCTGGTGCAGCGCCTCGGCCACGTGGGTGAGCATGTGGATGAGGCCCCTGCGAGGGAACAGAGTGAGGTCAGCAGTGCTGGCACCAAGATCCCACCTGGGCACCTGTGGGGCTCCCTGACACCCACTGCCTTGGAAATGGGTGGGCTGGTCCCCAGCCTGAAACCCTGATGCAGGGCAAGTGGAAAGCCCCTTCACTTCCCACCCTACTTCTGGGTGTGGTCCCAAATGACACGGCACGTGCACCGGAGGAGCCCCGCAGACCAGTAAATGGGTAGAAGACAAAGGCTGCCCTCCACCCACCTGGGCCCCACTCGGAATCCGGCTGAGCCCATCCCTCCTCACACTTGGGTTCTCTTACAGTGGGGTCTGTGAAGTGCCCAAGAGACACCCAGGGAGGGTAGCCCAAATGTCCAGGGCCCCAAACACCCAGCTCCCCTGAAGAAACAGCAGGAAGGCTGCTGGGCCCAGGGCACTGAGCACGCGGGGCTGGTCAGCCTGAGCACCTCCTGAGGGCTGCGTCAGGTCAGGCTCAGGACAGGAAAGCGTGTATGCCCTTTCACTAGCGCCCACACATGAGGGCAAGGGGCACCCAGGTTGGGATGAACAAAGAAGAGGCGAGGGCTGCAGTGAGTCTGCACAGGCCGCAGTGTGCCCTGAGGGGCAGACCCTGCCCTCTCCCAGCACGGGCCACATGCGCCCGTCAGGACCCCCTGCCCCGCCCCACCCCGCCCAGCATCCACAGCATGCAGACCGTAACCAGTGCGCCAGCTTGAGCGGAAGCCCATGAGCTCTGCCCTGGTGGCCAGCTTTGCAGAAACTCCATCTGGAGTACATGTGGCTGCAAGGCCAGGTGCCAGCATGGCAGCCCTGCATTCACCGTGTCTGGGAGACCCTGTCACTGTTCACTACAGCACCCTCAGGGCCAGCTCTGTCTGGAGGGATGACAGGTCCCACTCTCATGGACACTGGGAAGAACGAGGCCAGGCAGGCCCCACTGTGCTCTAGTGCGAGTCTCTGGGCAGGTCTTTGACCATGGTCCCCTGGGGCCCTGGTCCTCTGGGTAACACCAGGATCAGGGGCCAGCCACATGCTGACTGCTGGATGGGAGTGGTGACTCAGTCTCCCTGACGTGGCCCAAACTGGACTGCCACTTTGCCAGCTGAGCGCCAGTGGCATCCATGGGAGAGCCCTTGGCCCTAGACAGTCAAGGCACGCACCACCCAGCTGCCCTTCCGGGGAACAGCAGCACCAGCACAGTCAGGAGCAGGCCTCGGGCAGCCTGCCTCGTCCTCTGTGCTGGCCCCACGGCTGGAGTTCTCCAGGAGCACCACTTAGAGGTGGTGGTTGGGGAGACTGTTGCCCATACTCCAAACACCAGAGCACAAGGTGTGTCCAAGCCCAAGGGGCTCAGAAGCTGGTCCCTGCCAGGAGGGACCTCCCTAGCCCCATGCCTGTGGGCCTTGCACTGCCTAAGGTGTCTGTGACTGTCCCCAAAACAGTGATGGGATGACCTTCTCTGGGGCCGCACCAGGCCCATGGCCAGTACTGGACATCTACCCCAAGCATTTAGACTTCATGGAGTGGCCAAAAGCAGAGGGCAGGTGGGAGTCAAGGCTACCAGGGTCCCAGCTGTGGTGGGTGCTGGTGTCACCCGGAGTGTTCTTACTGCCAGTTGCTATGGGCATGGGGACAACGTAAGGAGCCACTCCAGGGCTCTGGTGGGACCTACAGCAGCAATTTCCCTGCCAATGGTGTTGCCAGCAGACCCTGCAGGTAAACCTGACCGAGCCTGGGTCCAGAGAGTGTGAGGGACCAGAACCCACTGAGCTCAGTCCTGGGCTGGCACACTGGGGGATGGGAGTCTAAGTGGAGGGCAGAGGGGGCAGGTGAAGATGGGCGATGGGGTGCCTGGATGGCAACCTGACCTCTGTCTTGAGAGCCTGGCCTCCCCTGGGCAGGATGTGGGGGGTTCACTATGGAGCCAACACACCCACCGGAAGCTGCCGGTGCCACCAAGGAGCCGCTGCCTGCTCCCTTAGCAAATGTCCCTATCTGCCACTGATTTACACCTTCTGGTTTGGAAAGTGCCCTAAGACCATACTTAATGAAGAGAGCGCAACTGGGGCCAGCAGATGGCGTAGTGGATACACTGCTGGACTCCACGTGGCCAGCTGGGATTCAAATCCTGGACCCGGTGGCTTGAAACTCATGCAGGGCATGTGTGCGTGCGTGCCAAGATTCCAGGAGAATGGCCATCCTCTCGGGGTGGGGACTTCTCACTTTCTCTCTCACTGTCTCTCTCTCTTTGGTGAGCACACAAGCTATAAGACAAAAGCCTATTTTTTTTTTTAAATAGAGGGATTGTAGGGACTTTTCGGTGTCTGCTGGCCAGACCTGCAGCTGCCTTGTGGCGGCCTAGCCTCTCAGCACTGTGAGGGGAGGATCGGGGCTGCTGGCTGAAGTCTCAGTGCCACCCTCTCCTGTCTGTCGACACCACCTGCAATCCCACGGGGAGGAGGGAGCCACCCTTCCACAGGACTCTGGTGGAGGCACGGGGGACCTAGAAGCCTGTCAGGGTCTGTGTCACAGGGACCATGGAGACTAGAGGCCCCTGAGGACCACCTGCACAGCCCTGGGGGGAGCTCTGGACTCTTTCAGGCAGGAAAGGGGGGGATGGCTAACTCCACAGTGAGGCCCACAGCCTCTGCCTGGGAGTGGCCACACTAGCCAGACAGTGCTATGAAGAGAAGAGCTCTGAGCTGGAGCAGGCAGCCTGTGGGCACCGCCCCGACCCCTGTCACGGAGACACCAGGTCACCACCCCTGCTGGCCGAGGTTAAGCACTCGCATGCCTACCTGTTGATCAGCTACTGCCTTTCTAAGACAAACTGGCACTTGTGAAAGGCCACAGGAGCCTCAGAAATCTAGGCTAGATGCCCAGAGGGTGATGGGAGGGGGCAGGAAGACGTGACTAGAACAACAGTCTTATTAAATACTCCCATAGTGTGGGGCCGGCAGGTGGCGTGGTGGTTAAGACACTGAACTCCCACATGGCTGACCACAGTTCAAGTCCTGGACCTGGCAGCTTGCTTTCTCACTTTGCCTTTGTCTCTCTCTGGTCAAATTAAATAATAAATAAAAATGAAGTCATTAGTTATTTATTAAATAAATAAACAACTGTTTAAAAATAAAAAAATATTCCCATGTGTGTCCCGTGGCCAGGTTTGTTCTGGGAGGTGCCCAGGCAGCAGAATGCCCAAAGGAATCTGCGAAAAAGCTGGTCTTGTCTGCTTGGGAGCCTGGACAGCGCCTGTCCACTTGTGGCTCCTACCTCCCCTCCCTGCTGCAGCCTCTCATTCGGGCCCATGGCCCACCCCGGCCCTCCAGCCTGACAGTAATGACCCATCAGGAGTCTGGGCACATTTGGGGCCATAGGAGGCCTGGTGGTTAAGAGGTGCTGGACTCCCACATGGCCAGCCATGGTTCAAGTCCCAGACCTGGTGGCTTATTTCTCATTTTCTCTCTCTCTCTCTGTTCCTCTCTGGTCAAATTAAAATAAATAAATAAAGTTAAATAAAATAGTTACTTAAAAAAATAAAAGGTCTGGGCACCCTGGCCGGTTGCTCTCTCTCTCTCTCTGGTGTGTGTGAACATGTGCTCTGGCCTTCTGTGGTCAAATTAAAAATAAATAAATAAAATAAAGTTAAATAAAGTAATTTTTTGGGGGGAGATGTTTTCACTACAGGGCGTGTGCGCTTGCCAGACAGACAGAGAGAGACATTAGAGACAAAAAGCGAGAAATCATCCCCCAGGGGGGATGGCCACACCGCAATCCCTTCTCTTCCATTCTCCTCTTGGGATCTTGGGTACGCACGCACACGCGCCTGGCGTGAATTTTAAGCCACCGGGTCTGGGATGTGAACCGCGGTCGACTACGTGGGAGTCCAGTGACATAGCCATTATGCTAACTGCTGGTTCCCAAATAAAGTAATTCTTTAAAAGAAAAAAAAGAATTTTGGCCATCTCAGGGAAGGGCTGCCCCCTTTATTTATTTATTCGGAGAGGTTTTTTTTTGTTTTTTTTTTTGCTATAGGGTGCATGTGCTTGCCAGAAAGACAAAGAGAGACAGAGAGACAGAAAGCGAGAAATCACCCCCCAGGGAGGATGGCCACACCGCAATCCCTTCTCCTCCATTCTCCTCTCAGGATCTTGGGCACGCACGCACACACACCCGGCGTGAGTTTAAGCCACCGGGTCCAGGACTCGAATCCGGTCGACTACGTGGGAGTCCAGCAACATAGCCGTTACACTAACTGCTGGTTCCAGCAAGGGCTGTCCTTTGGCAGCTCTGCCTTCTTAACTCTAAAATGGAAATGAATGATGGCAAATCTCTGATGAACAGATCCTTCCTCCCAGGGTTAGTGGGAAGGCTGGGGCTGGCGGAGTCTGTCTCCAGCTCAGAGGGATCCCCTCACTCAGAGAGTGCTGGAAGGTCAGCCTTGGCAGTCCTGGGAGGAATTCACGGGGTACCTCACTCTAGGCCAGAGCCTAGCAGGTTCCCCCCAGATTCAGGGAAACCTCATCCATCCCCCATGGAGTGCCCCCTTGTGGTCTCCTTCAACTCGCCTGTCTCTAACTTCCTCCTGGTCACTGCTGGCCCTCCCAGCATGGAAGTGGACAGAGGAGAAAAACCTCTCAGAAACACCCACTAGGGAGTGGGCTGGGTGGACCCTGGCTGAGGGTTCCCCCACAGCCTGCCACTGGAGAGGCCAGGCTCTTGGGGATGGAGATGTCAGGCTGCCAGCCAGGCACTCAATTGCCTATCCTCACCTGTCCCCTCTGCCCACCATCGTCTCCCTGCCTGTGACACAGACCCTGCCAGGCCTCTGGGTCTCCTGTGCCTCCACCAGGGTCCTCTGGGGAAGGGGGAGCCCCCTCCTCCCATGGGATTGGAGGCAGTGTGGAAAGGAGAGGTGGTACCTTGGCCATGGCCAGGGCCTTGAGTCACTGCTGCAGAGCCTGTTCACAGGGGATGCCATGTGGGCCACACCACAGTCCTGCTGTGGGCCAGCCTCTTCCTGACATCCCAAGGGAGGCTCCTTCATGTCCAAACTCCATCTACGTGACCACCACCTGGGCACCATTATCCCACCAAGTCTTCACGTTCTCTTTGCCACCCACGAGAGGAGGCGTCAGGGCCGGCATGGCAATGCGGTTGAAATTGGCAACTCCTGGCCTCTCTGAGCAGACCCCACCTTCCTGAGGTCCCACCCTCACCCCCAGGTGCAGACTGTGGGAGGAAGGCCTCTCAGGTGGGGCTCCTCTGCCCCTGCTCCTCCCTCTGCCAGGCAGCCGCCCAGCCACAGCTACTCACACGTGCTTCTGGCTCAGCAGCTGGCTCCAGACCTCCACTACAAAGCCATCAAAATGCTGGTTCTGGAAGAGATCAGAGCAGGTGAGGAGGCCCCGAGGAGACCCAGGAGGGTCAGATACAGAGGCTCCTGCCTTTACCCAGCTTGTAAGAATATGACCCAGTCACTCATGAGGCGAGACCCCAGCCGGTGTCACATGCCCAGAGGCCTTTTTCTGAAGGGTGGATGTGAGGGTTTCCCACAGCAAGAGGGCAGAGGGGCTGGGGCTTTCATGCACCTTGCCCCGCATCTGCTTCCCTAATCCCAAGCCAGCAGATGGTGTAATGGTTATGTTGCAGGATTCCCACATGGCCGACTGTGGTTCAAGTCCCAGACCCAGTGGCTTGAAACTCATGCTGGACATGTGTGTATGTGCCCAAAAACCCAGAAGGAGAGCGGAGAGGGGGATGGAGGAGGCGTCAGGGCCGGCATGGCAATGCGGTTGAAATTGGCAACTCCTGGCCTCTCTGAGCAGACCCCACCTTCCTGAGGTCCCACCCTCACCCCCAGGTGCAGACTGTGGGAGGAAGGCCTCTCAGGTGGGGCTCCTCTGCCCCTGCTCCTCCCTCTGCCAGGCAGCCGCCCAGCCACAGCTACTCACACGTGCTTCTGGCTCAGCAGCTGGCTCCAGACCTCCACTACAAAGCCATCAAAATGCTGGTTCTGGAAGAGATCAGAGCAGGTGAGGAGGCCCCGAGGAGACCCAGGAGGGTCAGATACAGAGGCTCCTGCCTTTACCCAGCTTGTAAGAATATGACCCAGTCACTCATGAGGCGAGACCCCAGCCGGTGTCACATGCCCAGAGGCCCTTTTCTGAAGGGTGGATGTGAGGGTTTCCCACAGCAAGAGGGCAGAGGGGCTGGGGCTTTCATGCACCTTGCCCCGCATCTGCTTCCCTAATCCCAAGCCAGCAGATGGTGTAATGGTTATGTTGCAGGATTCCCACATGGCCGACTGTGGTTCAAGTCCCAGACCCAGTGGCTTGAAACTCATGCTGGACATGTGTGTATGTGCCCAAAATCCCAGAAGGAGAGTGGAGAGGGGAATGTGGTGTGGGCGTCCCCCCTGGGAGGTGATTTCTCACTTTCCCTCTCACTGTCTCTCTCTCTCCAGCAAGCACATACACCCAGAAAACCTCTCCAAAAAAAATAAAAAGAAAAGAAATACCAGCCGCCAGCAGGGAGGGCTTCCCTCCGAGAAGGACAGTGGCAGCTGGGCTTTGCCTCAGGGAAGCTCCCTAGTCCAGCAAACACGTCTCCTAGCCCTGGGGCCCAAAGGAAGCAGGCAAGAGGAGGTAAGGGCTGGCCTTGGATGAGCCCAGCAGCGGGCTGGTGGGAGGGCTGGGAGGCAGGGCCTGGCACCTGTGCTGACCAAGCCTGGCCCGTGCCCAGAGGCCCTGAGGGCTGCACAGGCCTCACCTTTGCCACCTGGACCATGGTTTTGCTGAGCTCTTCTATCTCATCCTCACTGTCGAAGACATTCCGGAAATCGTCGTAAGTCCAATCCTCAAACAGGAGCCGAGGCACTGGGGGAGAGGGGTGACACACACACAGAGGCTGTGACTAGGGACACGGGGTAGCCCCATGCCTGTTTTCCCAGAAGGGCATTCCCTTGTTCTCCAGAGCAGAGTCGGACCGCAGACAGGGATGGATGGGTAGGCCCTGATGCCCTGTCTGCCCACCCGCCCGCCCTGCACCTTCTGCTCAGCCCTGTCACCAGCTCCTGAGCCTCCCTGGAGCACCTCTCCCTCAGCCTGCTCCCTACACTCTTACCCTGCTACCCCAGGCTCTCACTGCGGGTTGGGGCACGTGTTCCTCCCTCACTGGCTAAAAGAGACAGGGGCACAAAGCCACCAAGCAAGGAGAAAGGCCTTGGTGGGCCACGCCTAGATGGGCAGGACAACCCAGGATTCGGGATGGACCGTGTGCTGTGAACGTCAGGTGAGAGTCTGGAGGGGGAGAAAGCTACGCTTAAGGCACCAGAAATAGGAGACCTGGATCCCCTGGTCCTCCCATAGGGAGGTCACATCATCGAGGGCTCCATGCTGTATGAGGGGGAATGTCCCGACTGCTTCCAGGCCTGCTGCACTCACCTATGCGCAGGCCCTTGGCTTGCTTCCTGATGGCTCGCATCCACCCTGTGCGATGAGGACAGAGCCGTCGGCAAAGGGGAAGGGCACGAAGACCCAGCTCCCCTGGAGGAAAGCGCAGCAGCCATGCAACAGGCGGTGAACACCCCCGGAGCAGCCCTGCACCACCCTCCCCTGGCCGTCGCCCTCTCCTTCTGTCCTGGCCGCTAATCCTCCAGACGCTAAAGAGCAGCTCTGAGCTTATCTCCCTGGCTAGAGAGGCTCAGAGCCCGTGGTCATCCAGGAGGCCAGGGGGCTGCTTCCAAGGCTGTCCCCTCAGCAGCCCTGGAGTTCAGGGCTGCTTCCCTGGGCTGCAGGGTGGCCAGAACCCGCCACTCACTGACATCTGACACATGGTCACCTGCACAGTCCACGCAGCATCAGAGAAACCCACTCCTGGCCTGTGACCGCCAGAACTGGCTGTACCACCCCGCCCTGGAGCCATACACGTGGCTCACCACGTGAACTCAGAGATGTGCTATGGGAGACGGGGCCCTGCCCGAGCCCCACCTGCCTCCCGGAGTGACAGCGGACGGGGAGCCCACAGACTCTCCTCCCTGCCCAGGGGCTGCCTGAGCCATCTCACAGCCTGTCCTGCACACACTCGTGCCTAGCTTGGAAGAGCAAGGGAAGGCCTCCTCCACGGTCGCCGGGACTGCTGCGCATTGGGGTGGACAGTTCTGAGGCACTCACTCAGCCTCACAGAGGGTCCCACAGTGGTCCCACTCAGAGACCACCCTCACTCATCCTGCCCTGCCTCACGGCCTGCTCTCAGGGCTCGCCCTGCGTATAAAGGGCAGGCCGCAAGTTCACTGCACTCAGGCTCACGCTCACGCACACCCAGTCACACCACACACCCCCACTCTCACGCACTCTTACAGTTACACCCCGTCACACTCACACAGACGCGCTCCTGCACACTCTTCTCAGCCTTCGGGATAAGCACAGACTAGCAGGAAGAGTGAGAACCTTGGTCCACATCGTGAAGGCCCGTGATCTCAAACATCTCGCGGCCACGCCTCTTCAGCTGCAGCCACACCGGGGAGATCTGTGTGAACTTGCCCCCAAAGACTTTGGCGATGTCATAGCCGTGGCTGTTCCACTGGCGGAAGAAGGAGAGGGCAGACAGAGCACAGGTGAGCATGCACTGGCCTCACCCCGGGCCTCACTCTGGCTGCCCGAGACTTCAGCCTCCACCCAGGGGCCCTTCTCCCACTGTGGGCTGCTGGGACCACTGCCCATAGCTCCTCAGGGAGCAGCACCAGGTCATCTGTGGGTGGCCGTGAGGAGAAAATCCTGGTGAACCTCTCAGAACCCTTCACTCTGCCGATCCAGGGCAGCGTGTCTCCGGCTATAGGGTGCTGGCGCAGCAGCCCAGAGAAGTCAGAACACAGAATCCTGTCACCACCTGGCCAGGAGAAAGCCTTCTTCTCCTGGGGGCTGGGGGTAGCCCATCTAAGCCCCGAGACCTCCCTCTGCACTGAGGGGCCCAACGTACTGGAGTGACGTAGCCCAGGACCTCCCCGGTGAAATGTCTGTCCCGGGCTCTGGACGAGCAGTAGCTGCGATGCTCAAGAACGACATCCTCAGCTTTGAGGTCCGTCACCACCAGCCCCCGATCCTGGACAGGCTTATCTGAAAACTGAGTCTGCAACACAGGGGACGTAAAGAGATCAGCCACCAAACAGTGCAGGATGCGGCCTGGGCAGCAGCACCGGCAGGCCCTCCCGTCCTTCCAGGGCCGTCTTGGATCACCTTGACACAGCCCGCCCAGGGGTCCTGCAGGTATAGGACCAAGGCTATGGTGAGCAGTGTGGGTCAGAAAGGCCCGCTGTCAGGAAGCAGATGGTGGCCCCCGAAGGGCTAGTCCCCCTTGCTCTGGGCTGGAGGTCAGGCAAGGAGCATGCACACCCATCTGGGTAGCCCAGGGCCATGTGTCTCTGGGCCGGTGAGAGCATGCCAGGCCTGCGATATTCCACTGGCCACTCTCATCTGCCCTCACCCCCAGGCGCTCTGTATACACATCTGCCCTCACCCTGCCTCCACTCCTGGAAGCCCTCCAGCAAGTTCTCAACTTGCATGTTTTGTCTACACTCCAGGGCCTGCCTCAGCTTCCCCCTGGACATTGCCAGACCCTGGTCTCACCCCTGAGATACCCACTGTGTGGGCTCTCTGCACTAGAGCAGGGTGGAGAACGTCGGTGAGTCCAGGCCTGGGTCGGTGGGCCTGGCTTGTGGCCTGCTGGGGCTCAGGGGTAAATGTGATGGGAGATCCACCCTGGAGCTTATAATCCCTGGGACCATTCTAGAATAGTACAAAGGCCATGCCACGAACGCAGCTCATGGCCATATTAAAGAACACGAGGATGAGGGTGTAGGTGCTGGAAGGAGGTAGAAGCTGGAAATTATCACAAGAGATGGGCTCCAAGGAAGGCAGGACGGAAGGGACAGAAGTAGCCCACCCCCTGCAGAGCCCAGCTCCACAGGCTGCTTGCACACAGGGCTTAACCAGTCAGAGCCTGCAACCACACGGCTGCCCCACCGCACGAGAAGCCAAGCCCCTCCAGCTTCCTGGCTTGTAGGCCTCAGGCACGTAGGAGAAAGCAGTGTGGGTCAGCTGAGCCCGTGCAGTCACCCCTGGCCCCCAGGTCACCGCACCTTCTCCAGCAGCGTCTTCGAGGCAGCTTTTTTGGCGTCTGACTTTGACAGAGTGGCCTGAGCAGAAGCACAAGCCAGAGCGAGGCAGAGGAGCTGGAGGAGCATCTGCATGGTGGGCGTGTCACGGTGGGGTCCGCCCTTGGCGTCCTGGGGGCTGCAGAGAGAGCACGGCACATGGAGAGAACTGGCGGGGCGGCACACGCTGGGGACACCTCTACTGGGAGGGCGCTGGTCCAAGCCTGGCCTTGGCCCCGAGGTCAGAACTCTACTGAGGAGGGCGCTGGTCCTGGCCGGGTTTGGGCCCGAGGTCAGAACTCTACTGAGGAGGGTGCTGGTCCTGGCCGGGCTTGGGCCCGAGGTCAGAGCCCTGCCCTGGGCCTGCCCGAGTCAGATCTGCAATATTTCTGGGCTGCCTGGCTGGGCCACCAGTGCCCCTGAGACATCCAGAAAGGAGCTTCCTCACAGGCCATAGACTTCCTGCCCACCGGCCATCCAGAAAAGCCAGCTCCCGCCTCCCACCACCCCGAACCCAAAGAAATCTCAGCCTTGACAGGGCTTCAGTGTAAAATATTGGAGACACAGAAGGGATTGGAAGGAAATATGAGGGACCGGCTGGTGGTGTGGTTTTCAAGGCACTGGACTCCCACATGGCTGGACCATGGTTTGAGTCTTGGGCCTGGCAGCTTGAAAAATCACATGTGTGTGCACACCTAAAATCCCAGGAGAAGAATGGAGAAGGGACAGTGGCGTGGCCATCCCCCCAGGAGGTGATTTCTCACTCTCTTTCATTGTTTTGCTCTGTCTTTCTCTAATGAGCACAAATGTCCAGTGGCAAAAACCTTTAAAAATAGGGCCCAGCAGTTGGCATGGTGGTTAAGGATGCTGGACTCCCACATGGCCAACCACAGTTTGAATCCTGGACCTGGCAGCTTGCTCTCTCACTTTCTCTCTCTCTCTCACTCTGTCCCTCTCTGCTCAAATTAAAATAAATAAAGTTAAATAAAATCACTCTTAAAAACAAAAACAAAAATCCTTTAAAAGTTAAAAAAAGAAGAACAGATGAATACCTATTTATGTAATCTCAGGGTGGAGAAGGCTTTTCCAACTAGGTCAGAAACAGGAGAGATTATGAAGGAAAATACTAGACTTTAGTAGGTAAACATGCAAGCGCGGCCCAGCCTAGATGGAGCGGCAGGTAGCATACTGGACCGCACTACTGGGAACCACATGGCCGGGTCACCGCCCCTTCCCCAGCAGCGTCTTCGAGGCAGCTTTTTTGGCGTCTGACTTTGACAGAGTGGCCTGAGCAGAAGCACAAGCCAGAGCGAGGCAGAGGAGCTGGAGGAGCATCTGCATGGTGGGCGTGTCACGGTGGGGTCCGCCCTTGGCGTCCTGGGGGCTGCAGAGAGAGCACGGCACATGGAGAGAACTGGTGGGGTGGCACACGCTGGGGACACCTCTACCGGGAGGGCGCTGGTCCAAGCCTGGCCTTGGCCCCGAGGTCAGAACTCTACTGAGGAGGGCGCTGGTCCTGGCCGGGTTTGGGCCCGAGGTCAGAACTCTACTGAGGAGGGTGCTGGTCCTGGCCGGGCTTGGGCCCGAGGTCAGAGCCCTGCCCTGGGCCTGCCCGAGTCAGATCTGCAATATTTCTGGGCTGCCTGGCTGGGCCACCAGTGCCCCTGAGACATCCAGAAAGGAGCTTCCTCACAGGCCATAGACTTCCTGCCCACCGGCCATCCAGAAAAGCCAGCTCCCGCCTCCCACCACCCCGAACCCAAAGAAATCTCAGCCTTGACAGGGCTTCAGTGTAAAATATTGGAGACACAGAAGGGATTGGAAGGAAATATGAGGGACCGGCTGGTGGTGTGGTTTTCAAGGCACTGGACTCCCACATGGCTGGACCATGGTTTGAGTCTTGGGCCTGGCAGCTTGAAAAATCACATGTGTGTGCACACCTAAAATCCCAGGAGAAGAATGGAGAAGGGACAGTGGCGTGGCCATCCCCCCAGGAGGTGATTTCTCACTCTCTTTCATTGTTTTGCTCTGTCTTTCTCTAATGAGCACAAATGTCCAGTGGCAAAAACCTTTAAAAATAGGGCCCAGCAGTTGGCATGGTGGTTAAGGATGCTGGACTCCCACATGGCCAACCACAGTTTGAATCCTGGACCTGGCAGCTTGCTCTCTCACTTTCTCTCTCTCTCTCACTCTGTCCCTCTCTGCTCAAATTAAAATAAATAAAGTTAAATAAAATCACTCTTAAAAACAAAAACAAAAATCCTTTAAAAGTTAAAAAAAGAAGAACAGATGAATACCTATTTATGTAATCTCAGGGTGGAGAAGGCTTTTCCAACTAGGTCAGAAACAGGAGAGATTATGAAGGAAAATACTAGACTTTAGTAGGTAAACATGCAAGCGCGGCCCAGCCTAGATGGAGCGGCAGGTAGCATACTGGACCGCACTACTGGGAACCACATGGCCAACAGCGGTGGGTTTGAAAACACATTAGGCACATGCACGGGTGCCCAAGATCTTGACGAGCTGGAGGGGAAGGAGGGAAAAAGGAGGTTGTGCTCAATTAGACCCTGTCCCTCTTGCTCACATGCAAGTACAAGCACATGAGTATAATCTCTATCATTAAAAACAAGCCTATTTGATGGTCAATTTCTACTCATGATCTACACATAACATGCAAAGAATCATAAAAATCAAGAACAAAAATGTTCTCTATGTGGCTGGCAGGTGGCGTGGTGGTTAAAGGTGCTGGACTCCCACAAGGCCAAACTTGGTTCAAGTCCTGAACCCGGAGGATTGCTTTCTCACTTTCTCTCTTTCTGGAAATATTAAAAATAATAAATAAAGTGAAATAAAATAATTCTTAAAAAAAATGTTGTCTAATAAAAATGTCACACCATGGGACCAGTAGATGGCATAATGGTTACATTGCTGCACTCCCACGTAGTTAATTGTGGTTCAAGTCCTGAAACCATGCACTTGAAACTCATGCAGGACATGTGTGTGTGTATGTGTGTGCGCGTGCGTGACCACATCCCGAGAGAACGGAGAAGGGATTGCTGTGTGGCCGTCCCCCCAGGGGTGATTTCTCGCTGTCTCCAGCCCCCACCCGCCATCTTTCCTGCAAGCCCACACGCAGCAAAAATCTCCCTCTAAAGAAACAAAACAGTCCCACCAGGGACCCGTGGATGGTGTAGCAATCACATCACTGAACTCTCACATGGTGAGCTGTGGTCTAAGTCCCAGCCGCGGCGGCTTGACGATCACGCCGGACTTGTGTGCAGGTGTGCCCAAGATCCCAGGAGGAGAACGGAGGAAACAGGAGAGAGGCGTGGCCATCCCCCGGCGGGAGGGATTTCTCACTTTCCCTCTGTCTCTGTCTCTCTCCAGTGAGTAGATGTGCCCTAAGGCAAAAACCTCTTTAAAGGCCACACCTGCTCCTTCCCTGCCTGGCTGCCTGAGGAGATCTACCATCATGAATGACACAGTAACTATCCGAACCAGGAAATTCATGACCAACGACTACTTCAGAGGAAACAAATGGTCATTGATGGCCTTCACCCCAGGAAGGCAACAGTACCTAGGACAGAAATTCGGGAAAATCCGGCAAAGATGTACAAGACCACACCACATGGCATCTTTGTGTTTGGTTCAGAACCCATTTTGGTGGTGGCAGGAGAGCTGGCTTTGGCATGATTTACGATTCTTTGGATTATGCGAAGAAAAGTGAACCTGAATATAGACTTGAAGACGTGGCCTCTATGAGAAGAAAAAGACGTCAAGGACACAGCGAAAGGAACGTGAGAACAGAGTGAAGACAGTCAGGGGGACTGCAAAGGCCGATGCTGGCAGAAAGTCGAAGGAGTAAAGATTCTGCGATGACTACCTGCGGTGACTGTGCGGATTTTTCACACCTGGGGCCGGCAGGTGGCATGGTGGTTAAGGGCATTGGACTCCCATATGGCCGACTATGGTTTGAGTCTTGGACCTGATGGCTTTCTCTCTCACTTTCCCTCTCTATCTCTCACTATCACTCTCTGATAAAATTAAAAGTAAATAAACAAATAAAGTTAAATAAAATATATTTTTTAAACGTCACACTATAAAAATAATACGGAGACTGGCAAGTGACATGGTGGTTGAGATGCCGGACTCCTGCTGACGGCAGTTCAAGTCCCAGACCCGGGGGCTGGCTTTCTCATGTTCTCCTTCTCTCTCTCACTCTGTCCCTCTCTGGTCAAATTAAAATAAATAAATAAATACGAAAAAAAAAAAAAAAGACTTAAAAAAAGATATCCACTTCCTAAAATGTATTTCCTTTCTTTCCCAAATTCCTCCTAAGGGGATTCCCCACACAGGTAGAAAAACCCGAGGATGCTTGTGGACGTGGTAGTTCCAGACTGCGATGGACAGGTTCTGCAATGCTCGACATGCTGACTGATGCAAGCACATCACAAAACTGCATTCAAAAAGTGTGATCCGGGGCCGGCAGGTGGTGTGACGGTTAAGGCACTGGACTCCCACATGGCCGGCTACATTGCGAGTATCGGACCTGACAGCTTGCTTTTGCTATCTCGTCAAATTGAATAATAAAAAATAATTAAATAATAAAAAACGTAGGGAACCAGCAGTTAGCGTAATGGCTATGTCGCTGGACTCCCACGTAGTCGACCGCGGTTCACGTCCCGGACCCAGTGGCTTAAAACTCACGCCGGGCGCATGTGCGTGCGTGCCCAAGATCCCGAGAGGAGAATGGAGAAGGGATTGCGGCGTGACCATCCCCCCTGGGGGGTGATTTCTCGCTTTCTGTCTCTATGTCTCTGTCTGGTGAGCGCACGCACCCTATAGCAAAAATCTCTCAAACAAAAAAAATGTATAGTCCTCCTCTTTTTTTTAGGTTTCTGCTATAGGGTGCATGCAGTAGCAGGAGATAGAGAAAGCATCCCTCAGGAGGGTTGGCCAACTGCAATTCCCTCTTCATTCTCCTGTCAGGATTTTGGGCATGCATGCACACGTGTTCGGTGTGATTTCTAAGCTGCTGGATCCAAGACTTGAACTGTAGTCGGCCATGTGGGAATCTAGTACCTTAACCATCACACGACCTGTTGGCCCCATTTTTCTGTGAATATCCACACAAGAAT